GCAGTTCGCCTACAGAGCCAACAGATCTGTAGACGACGCCATTAACCTGGCCCTCCACCACATCCTACAGCACCTGGACTCCCCGGGGACCTACGCCAGGGTCCTGTTCGTGGACTTCAGCTCTGCCTTCAACACAATCCTGCCATCCCTGCTCCAGGACAAGCTCTCCCAGCTCAACGTGCCCGATTCCACCTGCAGGTGGATCACTGACTTCCTGACGGACAGGAAGCAGCGAGTGCGTCTGGGGAAGAATGTCTCGGACTCTCGGATTATAAATACAGGAGCCCCACAGGGCTGTGTTCTTTCTCCCCTGCTCTTCTCCCTGTACACCAACCACTGCACCTCCAGCCACGACTCCGTGAAGCTGATCAAGTTCACGGACGACACCACCCTCATTGGACTCATCTCCAACAACGATGAGTCCGCCTACAGGAGGGAGGTGGACCGGCTGGTGTCCTGGTGCAGTGGTAACAACCTGGAGCTGAACGCCCAGAAGACAGTGGAGATGATTGTGGACTTCAGGAAGAGCACTGTCCCCCCGCCCCCACCCTCCGTGATGGACTCCCCCATCACCTCTGTGGAGTCCTTCCGTTTCCTGGGCACCACCATCACCCAGGACCTCAAGTGGGAGCCGACCATCAGCTCCCTCATCAAGAAGGCCCAGCAGAGGATGTACTTCCTGCGGCAGCTCAGGAAAGCCAAGCTGCCTGCACAGATGTTGGTGCAGTTCTACACGGCCATCATCGAGTCCATCCTCACCTCCTCCATCACCGTGTGGTTCGCTGGAGCCACAGTCAGGGACAAACAGAGACTACAGCGCATTGTGCGCTCTGCAGAGGAAGTGATCGGCTGCAGCCTTCCATCGCTGCAGGACCTGTACGTCGCCCGAGCTCGAGGCCGGGCTGGTCGTATCACAGCCGACCCCTCTCACCCTGCACATGGACTATTCCATCCACTCCCCTCAGGCAGGAGGCTGCGGTCCATCAGGACTAGAACCTCCCGCCACAAGAACAGTTTCTTCCCCTCTGCTGTTGGACTCTTGAACACTTCTTAACCTGTCCCCCCGCCCTTTATAAAGTCACTTTACTGCCCATCATACGTCACTTTACTTCACTGTACTGCTGTCACCTTACATTGTGTGCACCATGTGCACTTGTATATTGTAAATAGTAAATAGTAACTGTAACTCTATTTTAAATTTAAATTTATTCTTTAGAAGTGTTTTTTTATTCTTATTTTTATTATCTCTTTTTGACTGTTGCACTGAGCCAAAGCAATTTCCTAGTCTGTGACCTCCTGTTACTTACGTGGCAATAAAAATTATTCTGATTCTGATTCTGATCATTAGAAACAGAAGGAACTATCAACAAACACAATGTAAAACTTCCACAGTGTAATTTAAAGAAGCTATACCCGTTTCTGCAAGGTTTAACATTAGCATTAGCGTAACTTAAGCTGTACAACAATCACTGATGAAATGGTACAAAAGCAACCCACTGCTAACAAAATATATAACTGAAAGATTACCGCTAGTTCCGCGTCCGAATGTGGTCCGGGCATAGATAGTCCGAGGCGGTCCCGCAGGTCTCTCCCATAGACAAGTCTCTCCAGAGGACACGATGTAAGCTAGCTATGTTCACCTGGGCTTGATTTCTTCTTTGATCATTTTTTCGCATTAGTTCCCTCTTCTCTTCCTCACTGTTGCATCGTTTGGGCTGTTATATGCAATTCTGCTAACATGCTACTGTGTTTAGCAGCGCTGTAGAGGCTAGAGGACGCAGTCTTGTTCTGTGATTGGAGGAGAGCGGGCGTCACGCTAAAGTCTCTACTCAGCACTTTTTTACAGCCTGAATTCATACACAAGCTGAATCACTGAGCTCAAGTTTTCAATTAAATTACAGATTATAATACAACTCGTATGTAGTAATAAGCATTTTTATGAACTCATTCAAAAATAAATTGGGTATAGCTTCTTTAAACAGGAATAAATCCGTTTGTTTGTCAACAAGAAATATTTATTCACGGACTTTCAGTGATGCCTTTTGAGACTTTGAACTAAAAATATTTTTGAGTTTGTGGAGCCTGCGCAGGAGATTTTTATATTTCAGTGTTCCTGTGGGAGGGGCACCTTAGTATTGGGAGGGGAAAACAGGCGGTCCAAATTATATACTAATTCCAATCAGACCAAGACATCAACAAACCACAATCCAACGCCTCATTGTACACTAAAAATGTGCAATCAAACTGCTGTCATTTTACATTATGCACACAGACAACAACAAACCCATTAAAACCTTACTATAGCCTCAATGTCTTGGTGAACCCCTTCCGTCTTCACAAAGGGCATTTGAAAAGTGGCATTTCAGCACAATGGCTGTGGATGAGGAGACGACTATGTGGAGTCCTCCTGGGAATCTTATCCGTCAAACATCTCTTTATGCATTTATCTCACAATGCGTCTTTTTTCATCACAGCAGGTGCAAAAACTTTAAACTGCTCTCATCCCAAACTTGGAACACAATGAAATATCCACAAACAGAGCTGTGTACTGCCATAAAAAAACAAAAACATTACTTTCAAACTATTATGGGGAATTTATTCAATCAGATGACGTCGCTGCGATTAGGCTGTGCCATGTTTGATATTCACCAAAAATAACAACATTTTACTCCCAGCTTCTACCACTAGATGGAGGTGTTTTACCTTTTAAGATCCTTTTTTTGCCTATCAACACTGATTACTTTTATCATAATAAATAAAAGTAACGCCCAAGAACCTAGAAAATGCAATGAATATTTGAGTAGTAACTGTAATCGTAGTGCAAGTATTTTCAAAGCAACATGTTACATTACATAGTTACTTGAGCACTGATCCTTATACAGCACGTTCAACCTATTTCATTTTCTAAAACATGAAATGCCAAAGTAAATATTCCCAGGACCACAGTTAAGGAGCACAAGGAACGTGCTTTAAATATGACACTAGACTTTAAAATCAATACTGAAATACCATCCTGCGATACGTCTGCTGCAGCAATGAGGTATGAATCTGCAACTACAGTCCCGTCATACACTTTTATTGTGTTGACTTTGTAGAAAATCTATATGATGAATGGTGTGTCACGTTTATCTGAGGCCTCTTCTGACAGCATGTGCAAAACGGTGCAGGAGAGCGTCTATTTTTGGGAGGGGTAATAGAGTTGGATAGAGCCAGTTAATGATAAAGCCATTGATCTAAGGTCCCCAAAGCAGCAGGAGGGGGGGACAACGGCACGTTCCCAGCCATTTTACATCACTATTGATCTTTACACTTAGGCGCACCGTGGCATTGATCGCAAACAGGCAAAGAGAGCCACACGATGTCTCCAGGGCCCAGCGCTTGCAGTCCCACAAGACGCCATGTTCATACGTTGGAGGGGGGGGGGGGGGACACGCAACTTCAGCTGTGACATTTACAGTAGAAAATAGCACTGACCAAGAGGCAAGTGCTAAACAAACGGGTGCTGATGTAGTCCATGCGTCAAACTAAGATTACAAATAACATGTCTGTGTTGTGTGTGTGTGTGTGTGTGTGTGTGTGTGTGTGTGTATTCATTTGTGCGTCTCTGCCTCTGGGTTGTTTTTTTAATAATGACACAAGTCTTGAGGGATTGCAGTAAGTGAGAAGCAAAAGCGTCTAGGCATAATCTTCAATGGAATAGAAGTTCATGTTGGGGGAATGAGGACTTGAGGGTCATAAGATAAGATAAGATAAGATAGACTTTATCTCACACTGGAGAAATGTACATGTCACATTTAGCATTGAAAGAATCACTCAGATTGTGCAAAAGACAGAAGTGTGCAAACATGTTAAAGGTTAAAAATATAGTCTGTGCAGGATATAATTATGTACAATAAAAATGTGGCTATAAAAGATAGATAGCATATGATAGTGCGCCCTTCTGCACTGGAGAGCTGTTTGTTACAGATGTGTGGCATAGATGTGGTTCTGTACAATTCAAAAATGAAATATCATCTTAATGCCATCATTGATTTAAGTGACAGAGGCCGATGAAGCAACTTGAGCAGGACCTCATGAATCAACCCTGATCCACAGTATACTCAGGGGTAGCAAGCCAGGGCCATAGTCGTCACTCAGCCTGACAATTGTGCAATTCAAATCAAAATATTATATGCGTTGCTGTCACTCCACCTAATGAAAGACTTTTAATCTACAGCCAGTTTTCCCGGATCCCTCTGCCTCCTCACACTGATGCAAAGCTACACATATTCTCTCTTTTGAGTGAGCCCACACCATCACAAAGTCTAAATGTCTAAAAAGCAGTAAGAGTTTAGTTTTTCAGTCAAACTTCAGGAAACCATTTTAATTCACATTGTTTTGAAGCGCATTTGGATTCCTGACTTTTCTACTTAATGTTTTCTATTAGGGCAAAATAAAGGCATGGATACACGATAACAGATACCTGGAGCCTATAAAGGACAATCTCGCTTCTCTGCTAGAGTCTTCAAATCTCACAAAGAACTGATAAAGGTCAAATAAAAATAAATAATGGTCTAATAAATGAATTGAAATAATGTGTGCCCATACATAAGTTCACATATCTGCTTTTGTGTATGATTGTATTGAAATGTATTGACAAATAATCATGATTTCTTTACAATATAAACTTAACGAAAAAAGAAAAACCCTCTCATTAACTGGCAAACCAACAAGTGGAAGTTTCCATTATGCCACATTGTTGCGCTCACTTATTCTAAAGACGATCTCACTGGCCCATGGCTCACTTTGATGCAGTGATTGACAGGCATACATGCAGTGTGACACACACAAGGTGCTGCATAGAGCGGTTAATATTCCAGAAGAGCCCTTTTATGGGTGAGGAGCGGAAGAAGAGGGAAAGTCCAAGGGATGAAACAACAGCGTAAGACGTGAGAAAAATGTAATCTAAATGGGGCTGTAATGACATTTTGCAGGAACATTAGCAGCTCATTAGACAACACATGTACGGCAGCTTTTGGCTCAGTCCTCTGAAGGTCGGTAACAGATCGGTGAGACTGGTGCAAAATCTACAATTAGTAAGAAACACTTCAGACAGCAGTGATGTAACACCTGTAGATCAAGTGTAACAAAAAGATGCATTTTGTAAAGAGGAATACTGCATTGAGATCAACATTACAATAGTCATGATGCACATTGCAGACTTCTTGAACTCACCAAAGTTTGCTGATACTGAAGCTGCTTGCTCTCCTCGCCTTTTCCCTTCATTGCAACTATATACCACCAAAGCTCGCCGGCCACGTGAAGACTGCTGGGTGACGTTGCATTTTATAGGTGTTTTTTTCTGCTCTTATTAATCTTCCTCTCAGCACATAGCACGATGCATGATGCGGAACTGCCCTGCAAAGAGTGTCCCCCGCTGTGTGTCGGAGAAGCAGAGGGAGAAGCAGCTGGCTGGTTGGCGCGGTGCTGCTGATGCAGTGTACCGGTTAGGTCTGACTGCAAAGAAGTGCTCTCCCTCCACCCCCTCCCACCCAGCGCACTCTAGACTCTCCGGGTGACTCCATTGGGTTGTAGATTTGAGTTGTGTGGGTTTTGTAGCTGCATTTGTGATTGAATAAAGAAAATGGTAGCTGTTCTGATTTGAGTCATCTATGGACTGAAGAGTGATGACTAATTCACTGGAAGAGGTGTGAGCAGCCTGGACATGTGTTGATTATGACTGAAAATTATAGTTAGTATATTACTGTTTCAGCTGGAATATTTTGCAATATCACAGAGTATGATTTACAGTCACTGAAATGTTTTTGCAATGTTCTTGGATTTTCCAAAAGAATCCTTTGTCAGGCGCGTTATGAACTGTAGCGTTTTCATTCCCGCAGAGACAAGGGCCCTCAGATGTGAGTGATGCCCACTGCAACATAGCCATTACCAGCTACAACCGGAATCTCTTGAAGTAAAAACACCCCAGACCATGATGGTAGAGCATCACAATCTCTCAAGTAGGATCTTCTTGGCATGTCAGCAACGTTGGAAGCCATCAGGACTGTCAAGGTGAAGAAAATAGGGTATTGTAAGATGTGTTTGTTCTAAAACCTCTCTTGCAGATGCATTTTTAAGCTCTCTTATTTGATTCAAGCCTTAGGGACATTTTATTGGGTCTTGGGTCTACCGCTTGAGTTTTTGTTCCATAACCATTGTGATGTGTTGAATGGGCAATACACATCCCATTCTGCAATATGCCTCCAGCAGCATACTGTCTAAAGATGACAACAGCAGATAGGCTTCACTAGAAAACTGTGGGCATCTACTGAAAAAATACATCATTAGGTGGTTTACATGATAAACAGCACTCCACAGTGCACTGGAAAGAGAAAAAAATATATAAGTTTGAGTTTCGTTTGGGATTTAACGCTTGAAGGTTACAACAATGTAGTTATTTTTTCCCCTCTATCCTGAGCTCATGTCTCTGGGCTTTAGCTTCTCACCGCTTGTGAAATCTAGGCTGAGTTTACACGGAGACGATGTGGCAGTAAAACGGTATAGTTGGATGTCGGTTGCTACCAACCGTTCATACAAAGACTGTGTTCCAGGGGGGTGAAAACGTAAGTGTTCAGATCCAGCCTGCAGAGTGGGACAACTCAGGCCCTGTTTATACTGAGACGCTGCGCAGACGTTTCCAGGCTATTAACAGAAACGACCTGGCTCCTAATGCAAATTTCTCAGCGTTCACATGAGGTTGAAAAACGATGTAGTTCTAGCGCCCGGCCAGTAGTGGGCAGAGAAACTTTACAACACTCACACGACCCCCAGCCCCGTGCCCAGCCCCCCTCTCGGCAGTATACTCACTTCCTGTGCCAGACCCTCAGAACGCACCAACATCATTCTGCATTTTAACAGCCACTGTGAACATGGGAACTGAACCTAGAGCTTCGCGTGGTCTCGTTTGGACGAACGAAGGTGTAGAATTATCCTCTGTCCCGCGCTGGAAGCCCACGAAGCTAGTTAGTTTACCGGCCGCCATTATTGTTTATGTTTGTTCTCCGCTACTGCGCATGTCCAAATTTACGTGCGGGGAGCAGCGCGGAGGTGGGGGTCAGAGCAGAGGGGGATTTCACACCTTTTTCCCTCTCGCGGGTGTGAAATAGAGCCCCCGCTGTGCAGCGTTTCTGAGTTGTCCCACTCTGCAGGCTGGATCTGAACACTTACGTTTTCACCCCCCTGGAACACAGTCTTCGTATGAACGGTTGGTAGCAACCGACATCCAACTATAGCGCTTTACTGCCACATTGTCTCCGTGTACACTCAGCCTCAGATACGCTGCACAGCGGGGAGCTCTTTCACACCCGCGAGAGGGGAAAAGGTGTGAAATCCCCCTCTGCTCTGACCCCCACCTCCGCGCTGCTCCCCGCACGTAAATTTGGACATGCGCAGTAGCGGAGAACAAACATCAACAACAATGGCGCAGCGCACACAAACTAGCTACGTGGGCTTCCAGCGCGGCACAGAGGATAATTCTACTCCTTCGTTCGTCCAAACGAGACCACGCGAAGCTCTAGGTTCAGTTTCCATCTTCACAGATGCTGTTAAAATGCAGAATGATGTTGGTGCGTTCTGAGGGTCTGGCACAGGAAGTGAGTATACTGCCAAGAGGGGGTCTGGGCACGGGGCTGGGGGTCGTGTGAGTGTTGTAAAGTTTATCTGCCCACTACTGGCCGGGCGCTAGAACTACATCGTTTTTCAACCTCATGTGAACGCTGAGAAATTTGCATTAGGAGCCAGGTCGTTTCTGTTAATAGCCTGGAAACGTCTGCGCAGCGTCTCAGTATAAACAGGGCCCTAGTGTGTGGTGTCAAAAGAGCCTCGCACCTGAGCAACAACACACTTCCAGCTATTGAGAAGAACATTTTTTAGGAACCAGACAGAGCATCATAGGTGTTAAAAAACATGCAAGCCTATGGGGAAATTATGTGGAAAAGATGCACAATAACTTGCATAAAATTTGTTATATAACTGCTCTTGTAAAATTACAATTAGATATTTGACAACAATCATTAATTTGATCAAATTATAGCCTGCGAAGAACTCTTTAATGTGGCATTTTGACACCTGAGCTGTGAACTTATGCTAAAGCTTTTACTGTATCATGCAGGTATTATTATATTGAGTTAATTGTAAAAGTTGTATTTAATTGAACTAACCCTTTTGCCTCATGTATGTTTCTGTGTGCAATATGGCTCCATTGTCCTGTTTCATCCATGTCCTCTGGCTGTGTGATCACGGGAGGTCGTCAACTACGCAAAATCAGGAGGACCAGAGAAATGTTCAAATATGGGTGGGTCCGCTAATTTTTCAGTGCCCATTGTCGCTTAATGCGCCACTGAGCACAAGCCATTGATTTGAATACGTGGCCATCTTTGATCGCCGGGGCTTGGTATTGACAGTCCCACTTCCTGAAAGGCTGCTACTTCTCACTCTGATTGGTGGAGCTTTTCACCTGACCAATCCCTTTCCTACATCAGGGGTTTCTGCCCTTTATTAGGCTACAATCTACACCTGGTCTGAGCTGCCAGCTTTTGTTGCCTTAAATTGCCATGTTCTGCTGTTAGACAGCTCCTGGAGCATTGATCCGTTTTAAGAAGCAGTCGCTGTATATTTTTGTTATTGTAGCCAACCAAGATGTCTGGACTAGATGGTTAGATGGATCCAGCCTGACACATGGCTGAAAAAATTAGTTCATTCAAAAGTCCACAGCGGAAAAACTAGGCTGGTCCAAAAATAAAATACCCCCGCAGCATTGCATGGAAAAAGGCGGCATAAGAATGAATTGGATAACTATGTTTCCGGGTACGCCACCACCGGCAAGGAGCCAGATTGCAAGCATGTCAGCGTACGTGCTCATTGACCCTTTTGAGCCCGGACCCACCCCCATTGGGGTCTACAGCGTGTGCAACATATCATTTGCTTGCAGTATTCTCTCTCACTGAAGACATGCATCAATCAATAAGAAGGCTGACCAGGCACTGAGGCTGACCAGGTCACAGCTGGTCAGCCTCAGTGGCAGGGCACCAGCGGGGCATGCAGGGCTCCAGGACACCAGGAAAGTTAGGGGTTGACATGGCAGGAACTCTGGCAATCAATGAAACACCACCAACCCCTCAGAACCAGAAGCCCTGGGACACCAACCTCCAGGGTCACAGGTTGCAAGGCCCCTCCGCAGGCATCACTCACAGTGGTTTAAAAGGACAGTTCGGGAACCTGGTAGCCTGATTTATTCGCGATACCAGCCCCCAGACATCCGAACACCAGTCTGTACAGTCCCAAGTAGATGGTCGTCACCAAGGTCAGGAGGGAATCCAGCTAAGGCCCAAATGTGGTGACGAAAGTGTCAGCATTGCATACAGCACAGCATTGTCCTTAACGAACAATAAGTCCAAACATGCCACACAAGTTCTGCCCTGGCCCGCTACAGTCTGTGAGGCTCTCAAACTAGGAGCATATCTAAGCTTGCCGAGCCGCTGGCGGCTTCCACTTGGACAAACATCATCAAAGGCAGAGGACAGATGTAGCCAACCAAGATATGGATGTAAGGACCAGACAGAGAGAGGTTCTGTCGAACCCCGGTGAAAACCATACTAACCAGAGCAGAAGAAGCATGTTTTTGTAGAGGTTCAGGTGCTTACAGAGCATGTGTAACAGATACTTATTGTTTATTATGTGTTTGATGTGGATTTTTTTGTCAAGCATGACTGTGTTGATAAAGTGTTAATGATTGTTTATTTGTCCATTTGTCCATTTTGTTCTATAACAACTTCTGTTATAGTTTGGTTTTTTCATTCTAAATGATTATTTTACCGATTTACTTGTATTTTGTTACCCAGCTTGGGTTAACACTGGGTATTTAATTTTCTAGTGACCAATAGGGACATCAAGGGCAATACACCTTTGGAATAATTGAAGAAAAATTGAACTATGTCCCTACATCAATGTTGGTGCATGCAAACAAAAAACATCAGATGGTTAAGGTGCAAGAAGCAACAGCCTGGAAAAGACCACCACGCAAGGACAATGGAGGGCAGAAGTGGCAGAGGAGGGTCGAACAACAAAGCTCGATATAGATTGCAGGCTTTACCAGCTCCAAGAGACAAATCAAGAAAGTCTGCTTATGTGGTCACCAGGGTCAGCTCGGACCTGATGGATGAACCATGGACACTATGTGAAAAAGCCATAACACCATGACTTTCTGGCTTTCCTACACCTCTATGTCCATTATCTATAAGATTAGTTTGAGTAAGAATAAATGGCTGACTCACTCCTTTTTGATATACATACATATAGGTTACAATATGGTTCTGGATGGTGTTTAGTTGCCTTACAGCTAAAAAATAGTGGGCCCTGTAATACTAATAGCTGTAGGACTTGTTACATGCATCCCTAATTGGAAAAAAATATTACTGTGCGAATGTGAATCATGGCCAGTTTAGAAGAGCTTTAGTCCCGATGATAAAGGTCTACAGCCATGTCTTTCATTTTGAATCCTCAACATCAAACCCCGAAAAAG